CTTCCTTAGTGACTTCAGTAGTTTCCAACATGGATTCCCTCTAGACAACTACCAACATGGATTCCCTCTAGACATTAAGTTGGAGAATTTCTTCTGCACATTTTCCACTGCTTTTAGATAACACTTCCTTAACTGCAACAAGTCACCTCTCACAATCAATATATGATTGCTTTTCTGGAACAACACAGTGATATGATATATAGAGACGACTGTCTGGAATGTGTTCAACAATGGTCAACAAAAGATAGAATTGCAAAAAATCCGTGCATCGATGACAATGAAATCAGATATGGTAGTAAACTATCTTTCTCCACCCTAAGCAATTGGCAAAGAAATCACTCATTCTGTCTCTCTACACTTGCTAGAGAAGAGAAAAGGAGGGCTGGAAGTTGGCACAAGGCGAGAAGCGTCAAGGTTCATCTTCTTATAAACACTCTTGAAAATAATATCCACATAGCTATTAGTGTATTAGCATAATACCCAAAAAAGTACGCATAAACATTCCTTAAATGTTCATCTATTTTTCATTAAATCCTACTTTTAATTCCAAGCATTTTGACATAAAGAAGTATATGTAAAATATTAATCTAATTATTTAATTGATTGTATTTATTTACAGTTTATGATTTAAATGACAGCAAGATTAAATACTAAGTATTAGAAAATTATTAATTAGTATGTACCTCAATTACTGTAGCAATTCCACTCAATTACTGTAGCAAGTCCACTTAAACCGGCATGTATAAAGCTGATGGGAATCCTAGGGCTAAGAATGACTGAAAAGAGTTTAGTAGAATTAGAAGTGTTATTATTATATTAATAGTGTGATAAGTTTTATTTTGTGGAGGCTTTAGCTTCTCTTTTTCCCCATACGTCCCTCCTTGGACATCGAAAGCCAGCTGCAAGCTGAGGAGCGTGAGCCACTTGTTGGGACTGCTACTATAAGCTGCTTTGAAGGAAAATTTCATAGAACAAAATTTCTGAAATCGGGTTGCCGGAATTCAGTATTTATTGAGGCTAGTTGTGCGGAAGAGTAGGGAAAACTACTGCGGGCTAAGTTATTGTAATGGGTTGTTGTTTGTAGTGAAGAAAAAAAAGGTCAACAAACAAAAATGTGCTAAAGTTAATTTTTTTTTTAATTTCAGGTTTGTTGAAATTAAATCCTGGAATTCAGCTCAAATGCTGAATTTAATTGCTGAAATCAGTGTGTGTACTTAAACAAATATTTGGAGAGGAGATAAATGCTGTTGTTATTGCTGAAAATCTATAGCTAAAATCAGTGGGGAATTAAGAAGAAAGAAAAGAGAAGAAGAAGTTTAGGAGAAGAAAGAGAATTTAAATGGAATGAAGAAGAGTACAATTGAGGTTGTATATTAAAAGAAAAGAAATCGAAATACTTTAGGTGAACCTGTTTACCCAACTATTTTGGAGGATGAGGTGAGATACCCAAACTATGTTATAGGAATTAGTAAAAGCTTTATGTCATTGCAATTCATATCTACTATGTTTATGATAGCATTTATTTTTAGTTTTCTTCAGTTTATTCTTGTATGAATATGTTTATAAATAGCATACACATGAGGGTTAAAATGGATGTTAAAAATGATTGCTATTGAGAAAGTAAAAGAAGTCATATATGGGGGATAAGCTCGCACAAATTAAGGCGAAAGACCTAACAAGGTAAGCCTACACTCTTAATTCTAAAAGTGAGAATTTAGACACAATCTTGAATGAGAGAGTAATTTCAATTCTAAAAATTAGGAATCTGGACCCAAACTTGAATTGAAAATTTGAAATAGTGCAAAAGCCTATAGTCATCATTTGACTTGTCTAAATGTATTGCATTTCTTATGATCAACATAGAATTCTCATGTGTCCTCCATAATTGTTCACCATGTTATTACTAATTTTTATATATTGTTTGTATATTTCATTGAGACATAGCTTATTGTAGTAGTTATACTACAGGTAAGAGAAAAGAACCCGTAGGGCATTAAAGGGGTAACGGTTCTTTTGAGTGTACATATGTTTTGGGTGTACAAAGAGATCTAAAAAGAGATCTGAATGATAGTTGTGTAGACTTTTGGGTATGTAAGTAAATTTTAAAGGTTTTAGTAAAGCTATGTATTTCTTTCGAGATGAATATTTTATAATATATGCTTCCTATTATAAAAACTTTAAATGGGTTATAATTAGTGTTTTGAGGATAGTTTGAATATACTTCTTTTTGTTTTTCTTATTTAATTCTGCTATCTGTGTTTCAGAATGGGGATAAGTAAGAAGATGTCTATTTAGATTCTCCTTCTCTATCGCACTCTAGATTGACTATGGGGGAAGGGTTAAAATGGGGTGTGACAATTAGGATGCTATCGATTTAATCGTTTGCAATCAACGTTGTGACAACCACCGCATTCATTATATAGATCATTATTCGTTGATTGATTAGCTTCCGTGAAAGTGATGGGAACGACCTTGGCCATAGGCACCTTCGAGGTACTAATGGAGTTTATTCTCCCGACCAAAGTTGTTTAAAGCTAGGTCGATAAAAATCCTCTTCACCAACCCCTCCATAAATTGTAGGAACACCCTAATAATATGAACCGTCTGCATTAAAACTGGTTCGTTGAGGACTTCCTCCATAAGTGCCATGGCCTTCTTCCTATATCAGCAAGAACAAACTCTATAAATTTACCTACCTTCATTAATTCCTCCACCAAGCTTTGGAGGGGGTGATATTCTTTCGCATCGTGGTTGTAACTATGATGATACAAGCAATACTTCAATTTGTCATAAAGTTGTCCTCATAAGTGACCTCCTGTCCTCTTAAAGAAATCTTTATTCTACATTATTTCACAAAAAGTTAGCAACCGGCATAATGGAGGTGGCAACAACCTATGGTTGCGGTGATCATCCCATTGCTCTTCATTTTGTACTCATCCTTTGAAAGGATGAATTCATTCTATGATCATTGTAATATGTCCTCTCAACCCCTAGTTCCTGAGGTGACTTCTTGGTTCCTTGGGAAATTGCCTAAATTTTCCTCCCATATGACCTTCTCCTTTCTCCTTGTCGTTTCTGTGGCAATAGTCTCCATGTTATACTCCTTGGCAATATTAAGACTATTGGCGAGTTCCAACAATTCAGTCAAAGTCACCAACTGGTGCAAGCCATGTGCTTACCTGAATGGTCCCTTGCACAGACTTTAAGTTAGAGTGGCTCAGGCCACAGCCAACTCTAAGCCCTTTACAACCAACATTTCTTTTTGGAATTGGGTGATGAAATTTCTCTGCAACTCACCCAGTTTTTGCCTCATTCACAATAAGACCTGCAAATTTCTTAGATTTTGTGCATTAGCGAATTAAGTGATGAACATTCTCTTAAACTCGATAACATAAGTAATCACATCGAGTAGAAATTACGAGAACCACCTCAAAGACAATTCCTTAAAGGTTGTGAAGAATAACATACACTTCAATGAGTCATTGATGTCCATTAAAAAGATTGCCAACTCAAAATGAGCATCTTGATTGGCATGATTCATTTTTTTTCTTATACAAATCTAAGTGAGTAATCTTAAATTTTGTTGGAGGCATGACCTCAATAATCTCTCTTGAGAAAGCATTCACTAGTGGGGACTTCCTATTCTCAATCCATCTTTCCTCTCGATGAAGAGTTGAGATCCACTCCTCGCCATATGAGTGATAAGTTTCTTCAGTAATTGGATTAGAGGTCAAAACTCTAGCTTCAGAGAGTCCCCTTATCCTTGCCCTAGAATTAGAGGATCCTTCTAGCAACTCCACTCAAGGAGTGATTCTCAAAATTTTCTCCAGCACACCAAGATCATTCTGGTCATCACACCAAGATCATTCTGGTCATCCTATCTTGGAATTTAGCAAGCTGCCTAATAGTTAAAAATCCTTTATTATTCTTCATGTCGACAGATTCTTCTCCACCTCTTTGTTGTTGTTCTGCTTTACGTAGTAATCTTCCTCTAGCTAATGGCATGCTCCACACACACCACACATTTTAAGATGTTAAATTTAGAATTGTCTGTGAATTACCAAACTATATTAAGAAAACGGAGTAAAAATAGAGCGGAGAAATAGAAGAAAAAAATTATAGAGAGGGAAGCTCTAAGACTTCAGTAAAATGAGCTTGAGTGCAGAAAATTGCTTAAATTGAGCTCATCTCTCACTCCATATTTATAGATTTGGGTTGAGCCTTGAGCATTGCAAATTTTCTACTATATAGTTATACATAAACTAAGAGTAAAATATAATAGTCATGTAGCCCGATTATAATATCCGACTTGATGGATTCATCCATCAAGCTCCCAAGAAGTCATTGCCTTGATGTGTATTGATGATTAAATAGTTGAGTAGTTGATTAATAGTTTCCTTAAGAAGTCATCCATTGAATAGTCGCTAGAGCCGACTTCAAAGATGTACTCACTAGAGCCAGCTAATAGGTCATATTCACCTACTGAACGAGTTTTTAGAACGTAGTTGCCTAATTGAGGTGAAATCATTTGTAGCGTGGCAAATCCCTCTCGAGTTGAATCCGAGTAGAATGAATTAGCTTGGGTTTAATCAAATTAACTTAGCATGAACCGGGCTGATTTGGTTTGAACCTAGTTTATTAAATATTTGGATGTACAATATTCTCAAGTCATTTAAATGAAATTCTAGTTTGAAATGAATTCATAACCTAATGAAACAGATAAACCAATCAAAAGTTTCTATTAATATGCAGCTCAATGCCGGAAGCCTTTTGAGACAACTCACGGTTTCGAATCCAACGGAAGCAACAGGAAGCGACTTTCTGGAAAAACACAATCTTCATTTCAACGACAATAAGGTAAAGCAAGGCTGTGCGCCAAGCCTAGCTTATGCAGCATTGCACTTTCCGTGATGAAGAAAAAATAAAGGCTGCGTTCTTCCAGTGCGAGAAATCAAATAGAAACGAAGCAGAATACAAAACCCCAAGGCGTGGAGCCTTACCTGGGACCGTAAACGGGCTGCGAGCCGGCGTTCGAAAATAGTCTTCGTTGTCCGAGCCAAATAGATCTCCCTCCTCAAAATCCTCATAAACGACTCTATGTGAGGCGGACTCGATCGCCTCCCCCTGATCGCCGTCGCCGCCGCCGTCGCTGGAGCTCCGGCTACTACTCCTGGCGCTGCTGCTGCCACTGGAAGAGGAAGATGACGACGGCGAGGACGAGCCTGAAGAATCGTGGCTACCGTTTTCATCGTCGTCGCCGCCTCGATGCTGCTCAACTTCTTCATCTTCCCCCTCCTCACCTTGTTCGTAATCGTCTCCGTAGACGTCCACGTCCTGATCGTGGAAATCCATCCTTTCGGATTCGCCGGGGAAAACGAGTGTAGTGCGTTCCGGGAACTTGCTAACGATTTGGAGCGGAATTGTGCTTATTAGATTTGGAGACGGAATTGTGCTTATTAGACGCTGGGCGACTCTAGATTGAATGCGATTGCACTCCGCGAAAATTGGAAATATGCTTATATCTCAAAACATCTATGATATAAATTTGGCCAAATACTCAAAAGATTTTTTTTTACAAAAATATTTTGAATAGTTGATATGATGATTTTTCCTTCTTATTTTATATTATAATCAGGGGTGGAGTTAGTATTTTTTTGATATGGATGCACAAATCATTAAAGTATATTCGAGCTTGGGACCGACATTGATTGTTTAAAAAAAAATTAAATTATAAAAAGATAGAAAATGTTATAAAACAAAAAAATTATATATCATGTATAATTTCTCCTAGTGAATCTTTATTTTTTTTGAAATCTTTATAATTTCTCCTAGTTAATTTTTACGACACACATAAATAATTATGTATTAATTTCATCAAACATGTTATTAAACTCTTGAAGTTGCATATCTATAATAGTAAAAAATAATTTGATTTGGTAATGATGTTTATTTATTATACTTTCAGTGTGACGCCTTGATCTTTCTCACATCTCAACCGAATCAATCATGTTTTGAATGTTAATGATATTCTTCTCAAAAAATAATTCAAGTTGTTTAAACAAAGTGTCACACACATCATTTCTCACATTTTGAAGCTTTTATTTAGAATTCTTTACCAAAGTCATGGTATTTATAATGTCATGATCATTTCTCTGCAGTATTTGTGATAACTCATTTGTAACTCTTAATAAAGTCTTCATCATGTGCAAATTCATAACAAATTCAAAACTTTGCATAGATTCAAGTACGGAATATGCTTCACCTTTTTTGTCACTACTAGATCCCCTATACGCCATTATGTTAAGAACCTCTATAATAGACCCAAATAGAATAATTAAATTGATAAGTGAATTATAGTGGGAACCCTAATGAGTGTCTCTTAACCTTTAAAGAATAATTTACTGATTTAAACATCGACATTTTGTAATTCCTCCACTTTCGAGTTTATAATAATTTTATCATAATATTCTCCTCTTAATGTCTCTTTTTTTGCATGAACTACCAATAATATTTAAAAAATTGATCACAATATTAAAGAAGGAAGCAACTTGGACGTGATTTTTTATGACTACAACTAATACGAGTTGGACTTGGTGCCAAAAATAAGCTGAAGAGTTTTCTTTCATGATCAATTTTTTTAGTTCATTAAACTCGCCCCACATATTGTTTGCTCCGCCATACCCTTATCCGCTTAGCTGTACCACACTCAACTCATACTTCGCAAAAAGATCTTCAATAGCCAACTATAGTGTTAGAGATGTTGTATCTCCTACATGAATAATCCCAATAAACTACTCAATAACACATCGTCATGTATTAATGTAACGTAAAGTAACAAAAACTTATTTTTTGACTAATATATCTCGAGATTCATCAAGTAAAATTATGAATACATCATTCTTCAATTCATTGATTATAACATTTGAAACCTCAATTGAAGCATCTTTTGATATTTCTTTCTAGATTTTTGGAGATATTAGTTTATTATTTTGAGGAACAATATCCAAAAAAAACTTTACTTATGTCTTCATTATGGTTAGCAAGAAAACACGGAAGTTCAAGAAAAAATTCTCTATTCTCAGAATCATCTGGTTCATCATGCCCACAAAATGATAATCCCTATTATAAAAGAAAATGTATACAATCAGCACTTGCATTTAATAGTGTACGATAATATTTGTGATTTTGCTTAAAAGGTCTTCCAAAAGAAAATAAGATATCAATGTCTTCATTCATTAAATATTTATATTTTCACCTAGTAATATTATGTGCATTGTTCATGTCACCAACATGAATCAAAAATCTTTTTTTTTTTTCAATTTCTAGAACTCTTTCTATTAAAATTGTCACCACTAACATGTTCTCCAATCTAAGATCTATACATATAATAAAACAAACAATACACTACATCATTAGTTATACTATATTATAACCAAAGCTTTATTATCATCAAATCATATGAGATTAAATCTATGAAATTTATCTCCAAATTATGTACGTGAGAATTCATGATCACGTGGTTGACATGATCCTTTCAATAAGTAATATCTCATAACATTATCTCTCTCATTAGAATGATAATCCATTTTTTCTTAATCCAGGATCAGTGAGGATATCCGCAAAATTTATTTCTACATGATTTTGTTTGATTTATATATTATTTCCCTCACGTAAATTTTTATGATCATCTCCTTCAACTTTTCTTTTGAAATATTTATCCATACTAAATTGAATAAAAATAATATTAACAATTTAATCATAACAACAATCTATTTCACAAGATGCTTCATGCCTCTTATCATAGAATATTATATATATATATATATATTAATAATAATAATAAAAAGTAATCACAGTCCAACACTTCAAGATACCATTTTCAAACAAAAATCTTAAATAGATTTAGGCATTAGTAAGTAAATCAAAGAGAAAAATAAAATAAACATAAAATAAAAAGTAATCACCTATATAGAGAGATCCACATTACCATAGATTAAAAACTTGGGGGATGAGAAGTTTGTACCAATCCAAAGAAGTAGGGAAAATTTGGTCCACGAGATCTACTATATGAAACAAAGGTGAATATCTGAAGTGGCTAAATCCCAAACCTCCCTGGTAATTTTCTACTCTTGTTTGACAGTTGCGAGTGACGAGTTCCATCTCACATCTCCACTACCAAGTGACGAGTGAGGTGGGCAAAGGGATAAGGACCGTCGACGAGAGTCTGGATGTTTGACGTTGGAAGGAGGATGCGACACGAGGTGAGGGCAAATGGGAAGCATTTGTACTTCTCTCTTCCGAGAGGATCGAGCTTGTGTGAAGATGCGCGGTCTGAGTTCCTCATATACTTACAGTTACGGGATTTCTATTGGGAAGAAAAAAGAAAAAAAATATTTGATTTAACTTATATTTAATGCATTATAAATAAAATTAATTAGATGTTAATACTAAAGTTAGTGGGGGCCCGTGCCCCCAAGGCCCCCACACTTCATTCGCCCTTGATTATAATGGATAATTTATCTTATCTATTTGATGTGATGATTAATTCCAAGAAATATTAAGGTATCAACACAAATTACTATCATATATACATATTATATGCGAGTAATGTTATGGTGTTTTGTGAGGCTTCTATATCCCCCAAATTATCTAATTTAATCATTCAAAGTCAAACTCACTCACCTTTGAATTCCCACTTTTTTTTAAAACCTTCTCTTAATTAATTTTGAGCCACTCCTATACACAAGGCTTTGTTGATGCTTGAAGGATGGAAACCTAAAGCTCTATCCTTTTCTAGCACATATCAAGTTATCAAACACACTATTTGCAACCTCCTTGTTGAAATTTTAGAGCCTAATCTATTATTTTGATTATTACAAACATTATTAGTCTCATAATTTATTAGTTTCTGCATTATATATTATATATTTTTTTTGTGTGTCACTAACTATTTCAGGTACAATATACACCGAGCTAGATTAAACAAGTTGACTCAAGATAATGCAGCATTAAGGTCTAGTTAGTTTGTAATAAAAGAATGTATATATTTTTTTTTCTTTTCTTGAGTAATTTTATGTAACTAGTTGTATGTTGGTTAAACAATCGAGCACACACTCACAATGGAGAATAAAAATTAAATTCTTGAATTATTTTCTTAATCGTATTGTATGATCCCAATCATAATGTATAATTTGTTAATCTAAAAATTAATATAATGGTTTAATTAAATTAAATAAAATAAAATTAAAACATGATTAATCTTATTATATTACGTTTAATTGTATAGGACAATCAACTATTTTGATAAACCTCGCTATCAAATCTATGTTACCACATTAGATAAATTTGAACTATTATACCGTATAATTAATGAAAGTTGTCAAATTTTGTCCCATAAATTAAGAAAAAGAATCATGTTCAAATCCTTATTAATTATCATATTATTTGAACTAAATCATACAATCTGATTAACCCAAGAGATCACTAGCTGAACCTTGATTCATTCGGAATAATTTTTATTCGATAACTAATTGCATTGTATGACTTAATATCATACAAGATGATCTATGATGGGAATTGAACTAATCGGATAGTATGATCATATTATTGTACTATATAATTAGAAGCATTAAATTGAAAATCAAAGTTTTATTTAAATAGGCCACTTTAATTATTTTACACAATTTTTAAGGGGGCTATGTTAATTGGTCAGAGATATTTTTCTGGGTGCGAGAGTTTTATAAAGGGAGAAGTGTCTCCTTGCTTGAAAGAGAGTCCAAACCACTTGGGAAAGATGGAGAGGTGAGGATAACGGGGAGTTTCCTTGAGGAAGGGGTGTGAGGGAGTCACATGGTTGTTCCTATCAGCTTGCACCTTAGGTCCTTAATGTTATTATTGTGTATCTTTTTGAGAAGAGCTCTAGCACTACTAAAAAATCTGGCTTTCGCAGCATTTTTATGACCTACGGCAGTGGTTTAAACACTTACTAATTTATTTGCAACAGTTTAAAAACCGTTGCACATCCGCTGTATTTGCTTTCGCTACGAAGGTTTTAGCAGCGGTTTCACAAATGCTGCTATAAAAAAGTTTTAGCATCGCTTTTTAACAGGGGTTAAAACCGCTGCTTAATGATAGCACTGGTTAAAAATATATATATAATGCCAAAAAAATTAAATTTTTTTTATCAAATTATAAATACACAAAATTAATCCAAGCATATAACCCTTTCATCGTTTCCAAACTTCATAACAAAGTTCCTTAATTTGAATATCCTACCAAGAAATCATGGAAAAAGTATGTCCTTATGCATAAAAACTTAACATAATATCCACAAATCTTAGTCTTACAATTAAATAATATCCACAAATCTGACGCCTATGTAATAGAAATACAATCTCTGGTAAGAGTAGTTTTCTGGACCCATCATTGGAGGAACATCCTTATATTTCTTTGGACCCAGCAGGCTAACAACCACATTCTTCACATTGACAGTGGGAGGGTAGAATTGTTAATTTTCAAAGAAGTGTACTGAAGCAGAGCATTTATATACACTACTGCATTACAATGACCTGCAAGTCAAAGTTAGATGACAGTAAGCGAGTGGCTATAAGAAACTAAGGCTTCGTTTGGGACGGCTTTCTTACTACTTCTTAAAGCAAATTTTTTGTAAAAAAAATTAAATTTTTGTATTAAAAAGCTGCTTTAAGAAGTAGTTAGAAAGTCATCGCAAATAAAGCCTAAATCAGGTTGTCAATAGTTTTACTAGCATAGAAAATAAAGAGCTTTAAAAATATCTCGATTTGTACCTCCTCTATTCTTTGCCTGAGCTTATGAAGGCTAGCATTTGAGAAAGCTCTAAAAGTTCCGTCGAGGATGGCAGACTTTAGAACCAGGTCCAGATTGCTCCCTCCGTTCACTTCTGCCACTAAGACAACCTGACAAGGAAATGAAAATAATGCTTACAGATGATGAAATGTTAAACAATTATAAATTCTATTGTTTTAGTGAACTAGATAAGGGTATTTAGTGCATACACAAATACTGCAGCAGTAGTTTTTGAGCCCATAATCAAGGTAATAGTAAACGTCCAAAGCCTGGATTGGGGATTGGATAATAAGCATACTCATTGATCCTATCAGCAAAAACTCTACAAATCTGCCAACTTTGATATATCCAAAGCCCCTCCCCTCCAAAGATCTATAGATTTAACTCAGTTAAGAAGACCAAATAATAATAATAATGGGTGAAAGAGCACTAAGCACTTTTTGAAGAGAGTTTACACTAATAGTCTATTTTCCTATTTGGTTAATCCACACAAACATACAATCCATAGGACAAAATCAGTAAAAAGCTGACAGTTTAAAAAAACATCAAATTTACCAACATTAACAAGCATAAACATGAATCACTTACTCTATTAAGCACATCAAAACCGAAAGAAATTCAATATGATTAAACTTATATCATAATGCATTAACAACAAATACCAAATTAAAAAAAAATCAATGCTTTAAAGTCTACTAACACAAAAAGTTGCTTCCATATTACTAACCATTCTATGCTCCATGAGAAACCGGATGATTTCCGAACACTTGATGAAACTAGATTCGAAGTAAAGCCCAGAAAGATTTTGCATCTGACGGACTCTCTGTATGCAGGATCCAACTCTTCTTCAGTGCAATCTTCTGTTGGTTTCTCATGGGAAAGCCTCCAATCTAACTTCAATATTATCAGCATGGGAAAATACATTAAAAAAAAAACTTCTATGAAATAAAAGTAAAAAATCAAAGATCAACTTTCTTTTGAATTTTTACTTGCACAAAAAAAAAAAAAAAAAAAACGCAAACACCACTAACTAAATTAAACAACGACATCAATTTAATTTCTAGAAAATCATTGATAAAAAAGATGAATAGTAGACAAAAGTAAGAAAACTCACCATCTGATTGACGACTTCGACGGCGTCTCCAAGGTTCGATGCCTGGAAACCAGGGAAACCAGGGAAACCAAGGAATGTGACAAGTTGACCTGATTCAGGAATTGTTCCATTGAGCTTATTGTTAGATTGATCAATTTCAGAGAGCATAGTGAGGTGGCCCAAACTTGCTGGGATGGAACCCTCAAGAGAATTATGCGAGAGATCAAGCACAACAGCATATCGCAAGCTACCTAATTCATCAGGAATGGGTCCTGATAACATATTGTGGCCTACATTCAACACCATGAAATAATACATGCTGCCAAGCTTTCTCGGGATTTCACCGGTAAGATGATCTCGCAGCTCCTCACCCATGTTAGACCCCATTTGATATCAATCCATACACAAGAAGATTGACAGCTCAAATCTTTTTCTCAATTTTTACTTGATCAGCAAGTCACTAATGAAAAGTTGTTGAAATGATAGAAGTTTAACATATATAAAAAAAATTAATAAATGAAGCATTGTTGACAAGAATTTAGAGCAGAAATGACAAATTTTGTGCTAAGTAACAACAAAAATCGTTGTACAAATGACATAAGTTGTCAAGAAAACCTTAGAGTGGAAATGAAAAAAGTTTAACATGCATCACAAAAATTACTATCTATAGCCAAACAAAAAATCAAAATTATTTCTAACATTTCAAAACAAACCATCGGCTATACATGATGAAAATATCGTGTCTATGTATATTATTTATTCCCTTCTTCTACACCATGGATGTCAATTAGGCGAAAATTGATCATTATCTCCCTGTTATTAATATAGAAGTCATCAGAAAAACTAAATATGATAAATTAATTAATAAATGAAAATACATAATTTTTTTATTTTACATACCATATTTGAACGTCTTGGTGGCGGATGTTGTCCCTGGTAATTATTCATGAATTGTCTCATCTCACTTTGCAATGTTTGCACCACCTCCGCAAGTCTTACAACTCGATCAAATATAGTATTGCCTTGACTACTACTTCCTGGATCCGTGGTGCTATGAGGAAAATATCTGCTTGGAATAACCCAAAACCTTGTGTTCGTACCCTCCCTGGGTGTTCTAGCCCCATGATCGCCTTGAAGATTTTTTCATTGGCTTCAAAATTTCCATCTTCTAGCATTAACACTTCTTCGGCAAGCATTTCAGAAGCATGTGCCTATATATTATATATATATATATATATATATATAATAATATATATATATATATATATATATATATATATATATAATATTAGCATTCATTAAACACACATGTGAAATGCTTACGATTTTACCCATTTTTGTCTTGCCTCCTCAGATGACCATGATCCATTTTTATGCGTGCAATTGATTTTCCATAATAACAGACGATCTCGTATAGACTGTAAAAACTAAAATTCAATTTCCTTCATATAAATATAAATATATCAATAATTGGAATACATACCGTTTCTTTCTGTCTCCTTACGGAGCTCACCCGACCCATCGTATGCGGACACGTTTGTTTTTTTTGCATTTTCCAGATTTCTTGCTGCCCTCTCCTACAACAAATAATCATCATATTAATTTCAATTTTTAAGAAAATCAATAACGTGATTTATTTAGCTAACTCACTTTATCCTGAGGTTGTGATCATCTACTAAAAAGCTGACACCACTACACTGGATCTACTCCTGCAGGGACAGTCTCCATGATCTCTTGTAATGGTCTACTATCCCAGTGCTATGCCTTCAAATTAGTTTTGTAGTTGCGCCACTTGGCACCAAGAGATTGTAGTATCCAATATTTTATACTTGCGGGGAACTCAAACTTGGCCTAAAGAATGTTAAATGATTTTAATTATCAAACAAACATAAATTACATATGATTATTTGCTATGATATTTACCTCTACTTTAGCTAGCATCCTCTTTTTAAATGGTTCCATACCTTTATTACACCAATCTACAAATGAGATTGATGCCAAAATAGGATCTCTAGCTACAACCCCTAAGTATGAACCAAGCATAATAGACTCTGGCATATTACATGGCACCATATTCTCATTGACTTCAATGTGAATCTCAGTACCTGGTGGCATGCTCTGTATGTCTGCACAAGTAGTTCAGCATCTTTTTTTTATCAGAGCACCCTCATCATCTGAAAAAATAAAGATGTAAGAAGCAAATATATTATTAATATTAAAATTGAAATAAATAAATAAGACTTTTAAGTGAAGAAACACCTATGAGCCAAATTCCATCATCCACCGATGGCACCTGCCGTCTTAAATCTTGAGATGACTAACTCAGAGATTGTTCGTTGTTATTGCAGTAAGTAGCATTTGACAAATCTGGATGCATCGGAGTCGATGCATTATTTGAAGTTCTACTAATCTGCTCTCCACTGGAAGTTCCTCGATGTGTAACTTTTTTAGCACGTCGGAATGAGCTGCTTCCTGTCATTCCTATTAGTATAAACAAAAATCATATGAATGATTATAACTTCATGGACAACAATAGTCACAACACATTTTATGAAATAACAAAAACAAAAAAGCAACTGTTAGCTGCATATTTAGGTTATATATTGTGCATCCGGATGTTCCATGGCACTTTTTTTTACTGTTTTGCATATTTTAATTGTAATTGAAAATGGGCAGAGATAGTAAAGAATTAAACAAAAGTAAAAAAAAAAAAAAAACAACACCTGTGAACTAATTTGCATCATTTTAGTATGTAAAGATTATATCAGTGCAATAGAAAAGAACAAGACCTTTGAATAAAAAATAGAAACCTATAGCGACATGAATTGGAAAAAGACAAAAAAAGTGGTTGCAGTAACAAAAATAAAAAAGCAACAACATGCTACTGCAATGAAAACAATTTCCTATAAATGGTTCAATATGAAACGAATATCTGCACCAAAAATATTGACATTGAACCAAAAACTTTAAAGTCGAGCAAGAATAGAAGTTTTTACTTCCATGTAAAAGTTCGACAGCATCATAGTTCACTACGAAAAATAGATTAAATAGCCAACAAAAATTGGTGTGCAATCAGTAAATGCACGCCATTACCGAGTTCATTGTTATCAGCAATGAAGTAAATGCTCAAAAAAACTATTAAAACACATTCATGCACGCATGAAACAAGATAGGCTTCTTTGACAAACAACGGATACAGAGATGGAGTTTAAATGAGAACTATTACAAGTACAATGTGCTTCCAAATGAAGAAAAGGGCAACTCCACATTCTATGGAAATTGAAGTGGTAGTAACTATTCCCGTCTGATCTGTATTGAACTGTTGCAGCTTGTGCACAATTCAAATATATCCCACCAAATGATTCACCAAAAATTTTGTCATTCCTTTCTCTCCAAATATGATAAATGACAGAGCATGAAGGGAGTAAAAATTTATACAAGATGTAGGGAACCCCTGCTCAATAATACTACCAAAAACCTAGTGCAGGTTAGGACGCATAAGAAGCAAACCAACCAAGGAAGAAATCTCTTAATAACAGAGAAAGTGAAAACGCATTTGAAAAATAAATGAGCATGGGCCTCTTGTTCGGAAAAATAGAACGGGCAATGCTTCATAGTTGCAGATCTCTATGCCAGCCACGCATACGCGGAGAAATGACGGGCAGATTTTTTATGCCAAGTGAATTTATGCCACCTAACCAGAGGTTGAGAAGAGAAGTACTGCGAATAGAAATCTTTGAAATTAGGATTTCTATCACCAAGCCAATTTTATTTCTATCACCAAACCATAGTTCCACAGAATGGTCAGCAATAGGGATTGTTATAATTTCATTGATGATAGTGTGGGGAAAAGCAGTGGGGACACACCAACTACCATTAACAATGACTTGTCTAACTTCCCAAAAAGAGAAGTAGAGAAGGCAATTATCATTGTTCAATCATTGCTTCAATTGGACAAACAATAAGAAAAGAATTGAATTTTGACACAACTATTTAGATTTCAAAGAAGAATATATTTATGTATAAAGGAACCAAAGAAATGAAAAAAATTAACAAAACACCAATATGATCGGGACAGTTTTAATGTATATGATGCACGCATGTATAGAAATATTATAGAAAAGTTTATATTCCTGAGAAAAAATGAATACCAAAAGTATTGTTCTTAAAGATAAATTAGCTCTAGCAAACAAGGAACTGAAGAAGCCAACTGACGTATCAGATAGCATTCAAAATTAATTTTAAGTTCAAGCTAATTACTCAAAATGACCATGTTCTCCAAACCTAATATTGCAAGTTCAATAAATAACCTCATGCATTCAGATCAGTATGAATAAGGATTTATAATCTCATAGCGCTGAGCTTAAGCACAGCTTGGCATGGCATCACATAGTGTATTATGCAAACCATAACCAGCAGTACAACAACATTTTAAAACTTCATAACATAAATTTCAAGTAAATAGAATAAAATGTTAATGGAAGAATAATGTGAAGATGCAAACAAAACCACATACACACAACAGATCAAAAGCCAACAGCAAACAAGGCTTCCTTCTAAAATAATGCACTACAACATATCAAGCACACTGAATTTTCAACCCCTAGCACAAGGCAGTCTAAACTTTTTTCAGAATGGCACGATGTGCCGTTGTCAGTTCACCTCAGAAATTATTTCCTATAAGCATGAAATATGATGATGGTTTCCAAAGTCTACAAGAAAACGTTATGCAAACTTAATCATTCCATCCTACCATCTGGATAGCCCATAATTTTACAGATGATACGTAGAAACATGGTGAAAAGAAAATTTCACAAACAGGCGAGCTTAACTGAATATATAAATGTCAATCAAGGGGTGCAACCCCAAAAGCTCCCAGCTATATAACGAAAGAACAGTTGGGCCGTATCAAAGGCACCAAATAAATTGAATTGTCGGCAAATTACTCAAACACAAATTGCTAACCAAGGTTCCGAACCCACGATTTATCCACACTACTATACGTGAGACAAAATTTGTAATTCTTATGACTTCAAAGCTACATAAAAAATCAAACACTTGAAAATTAACAAAGGATGGACTTACAAAATATAGCAATTTCTATATTTTGTACTGAATGCAAGGTACATTTCAAGATCATTCAGTTAATTTCACTAAAAGGCTGAACAAAGATGGACTTAGAAACCCTCCCATCAAGATCATTTGAATAAAAAATAAGGATGCAACTCAAGTAATTTGAGTCTCTAACTATAGATTTTGAGCTACTCACCACCGTTGCCCTCCCCTGCTAAAGTGAATTTAGTCAGTACTCAGCATGAAAATTATGTCAAACTCCATCAAAATAAAAAAAGCAGAATATTCGATGTGTTCGAGTAGTCCACAATTTATAGTCACAATTAGGTGATAAAAGGTAGAACAAAATCCAAAATTAAGGTTGACTGCCAATAAACCGAAACAAGTTTTCCTCCTAATAAAAAGGGCAACTCCACATTCTATGGATCTATAAACTCCAATCATCAAAATGCAATTGCTTACATTATAAAGTAAAATATTTATATTATTTATATTATATATACATATATACATCTATATAAGTAGCAAGATAAAGATTAAAGTGGTATCAAATGAGAAAGTAAGTGAGAAAGTAAAGGTGAGAACAGTAGGAAGGGACACAGAAGACCAAGCAAGGGGAAGCAAGAGAGCAACCAAGCAATCCACGGTGACTCTGACATTTTTTTATCTTATTATAAAGATTAAGGTAGTCCAGATGTATCCAATTTGCAATTCCAACTATTGTTATCTATTACTTTTTATATGTAGTGACATGTGATACATATAATTGGAAATGAGTTAGAAAATAATTATAAACACACAATATAGTAACAAAGTGATAAACATGAAGATAAGAAAAATTTTCATCTATAGAAAAGTAATGTGGGAATTCAATCACTTATAGCTGAACAAATAAAAAAACCAAAACGAACATTCTTTTCACAAGAAACAATCAAGACATTATTGTTTGACAGGAACTGAGAACCAAGACATTTAAAAAGTCCAATTTAGAAAGCCATGTATTGCACAAAAAAAAAATCACAAGATAGAATCTTGATTGACAGGAACTTCGCATAAATTCACAAATGATTGTTTTGTTGAGAAATGCTTGAATCTAACACATCTCTAGCCTTTACTGGTAAGACAAAGTTCTAGTTTTTATTCTTTGGATCTTCAATGAAAAACACATGCTCAACTTATGATGAGAAAACAAATGGATAATCTGCCCATTTATCACCTGTGTGTATTAATCGTGAAAAGTTAACCAATGTATTTCTGTAATGATCTACTTTAGTGTCGTCTGAAGTTGTGTTAGCGAAATCACACTTGAACAAGACCACACAAAATAAGTCGGAGTAATTAAGCTCAATAATATCATTCAGTCGACCATATATAATAAGAAAAATTTCCAACTTCAGTTTTGTTAACAACACCATAATTTTGTGTTTTCTTGTTCTCATTGCGATCTTTAGTATGAAATTGATACCCATTAATATAAAATCCTTTAAATCTTCGTGTGATTTTCTTAGGACCAACCGCGAGGGCTCTAATTTCTTCTGAAACTACTGAATCATCTGTATATATAATATATAAAAAAATTCTTAGTCAAATTAGGCATATGATCTTAAAAATGTGTAAGGAAAAGTTTTGATATCTTACTCTTCATTTGAACCAATCATGAAAATGTTCATTAATAAGTTTATCAAGAGCTAATGGCGTTAGAGGAACATTTTTGTCCCTTTTTTGTCTCTCTTCCTCCTTGTACAGATCAATATACTTTGTTAAATGATCATAATGTCGAAGCACGTATCTATGACCTTGAATCAATGATAGGTCATCTAACACAAATATAGACACTTGACCCAAAGGTTTATCGGCAGTTAAAAACTTATAGGAAACACCATCATCCTTAGATGAAATTATAATAGATATGGACTTGGAGAAAGTCAGCGAACCATCCAGATATTTTGAGCAAAATGAAATTCCCTCTTCAGCGATATATCTCTCAGTAATTGACCCTTCAGGTTGTGATTTATTTCTAACAAAATCCTTTAATACTAAGAAAAATATGTAAATTATAAAAATGCATGTAAATATATCGCACTAAATAATAAAACATTGAAGCAATAAGAAAGATATATTACCTCTCAAAAGGGTACATCCATCTATAATGTACAGGCCCACCAAGTCTCACTTCTTCAACCAAATGGATGAGCAAGTGGACCATGATAGTGAAGAATGATGGGAGAAAGTACTTCTCCATATTACATAAAGTTAATGCAATTTCCT